CAGGCCTGATTTTTTTCAGGTCTGATTTTCGCTATTGCATAAATAGTGCTATCTACTGCGAGGATCGTGCATCATATGTATCTAATACCGCAGTTCAAAATATATGAACTTCATATATTTCATTGTATCTGTAATAAGTTGGCTAACTCCCAAATGGAACATTCCAACGAAACCGTACCATTTTTATCACATTCTCTAACTATTGTTTCCAAACAATAATCGGCAACTCGTTTCAGAAGCTATACCAAAAACTCGTGCTTCGCGTTTCATCAGGGGTTATAAACACCTCGAAATAACAAAAGCACTCGGCCTGCGACCTCGTCCTTTCATCTGTTTCTCGGTGTTTAGAGCCCCTGATAAAACACTCGCACCGAGTCGTTTTTGATATATTACTTCTGACATCTCGTCATAGAGACGAAAGTCTCAGCGCACTATGTGATGTAATAGCTATTGCCAATTCAAAGTCAAATGAAAAAATCAAGAGCTAGACGTAACGTTTAGCGTTTGCTTCTTCTGTATTCGTGCTTCCTTTCCCTTTTGGACGTAAGTAGGACTAAGTATTCGTAGTTAGTACATCAACTGTTGAACCGTTTGCATTTTGAGCGTTCAGTTTAATTGCTAGTGAAGCATGATTGAACAGTCTTGTTCGACCGATTATCAGATTTGTTGGATGGGTTGAAATCGTCTTTTAACCTTTGCGGTTAGAAAAAGTCTTCCTTGCGCCGCGGAGGCCGCACTGACCTCTGCCTACTCCAAATTTTGGTTAGAGTCTGTTCTTCCTCCGAGTCAAGCTAACATTCTTGATTTTCTTCAGTTTCATTTGTTTCTAAGTCACATTCCCCTCGGCAGTCTGAACGGTTCTGGCAAAATCTTTCTTCAGTTAGCTCTAAACGCCCGTTGAATAATCGTATCAAATCTTCACCAATTTCACAAATAACGTCACTTTTCTTGCATTTTGCTTCTTCGCTAGATGTTTCGAAGAGAAAACAGCTTTCATCTGTTATGAGATATGTCATAGTACCAAAGAAATCATTTGCGTCTATCGCATGTAAAATGAAGATAGAGAAAAAGTTGGATTTGAATTTGATTGCGTAAATTCCAGTATGTGATGACTGATACGT